TACAGTACTATATATCGCTTTTGTGGATCGTAATGATTGCTGAAATCATGAGTGCACAAAGGTCGCAAAGGGTTATGTTATGTTTATCAAATGGCATGTGAAGCGGCGCCTTTTGACTGCAGCGATCGAAATTTGATCAGTTAACTTCATGTTGATATTAAATGATCAAATTAGGGTTTATTCGTTACTTCGGCGTATAAAACATATCTGTTTGTTCAAACTAAACTTTGCGTTTAATAGCGAAGCATACTTACTCTGCGCCATGGCAAATTCCATAATAGGGATAAAACATTGACGTTGGGCAAAAGCAAGTTAATTAAGTGTGATACGTATGTGTAATGGTAAGTATTTGATTCTGTTACCAAAAATTTACGAACAAATCATAGAGTCAAAAAATTGACCCTCGACATTTTTTTTCGACCCTCGACATTTTTTTCGACCCTCGACATTCTACCCTCGCCCTCGACCTATTACCCTCGACCCTCGACCATTAGTCAAACTCTAACTCGACGCATGATTTTGTTCAACAATAGCGTTATTAGACTTTAGAGCGTACGACAGCAATGGCACAAACATTTGTTAAATATTATATTAACTTTCCAATCAAACATGCAGGTTATAGCCTACTTTATATATCTATAATACAAAATTATAACGCCACGAACTGCATGCTAACCAAAAATCCAGGTATTTTTTTGCCTAACCAGTTATTATCGCGTCAGTGAAGCAAAAACTAATATACTAACATATTATACCGGTAAGTTATTAATAAACTCAAACTGAATAAAACCTTGAAATTGCTGGGGGGTTTCAATATCAATTAAGTTTAACCAATTAAATTGAGCAATTATTTTTGTTTCGTTTCCCGCAGGAACGAAACGGTACTGTATTTGGTTTCGAGCAATGTCACAGGAAAGTGACGTCAGATATCAAAGTTATCCAATCCTTTGCCAGTATTCTTCCTGAAACGTCAATTACATTTAGAATCGTCCAATGAGATGACCGCTCCTAGCATAAGAAGTTTTTTGGAGGCGTGGCAAATAATTGAGAATCTTAGTTAATTATATGTCAACTTGTCAAGCGAAGTTCTATCCGCTTTGTGTGACGACGTGGTGTTCTAGATTTTGGCCAGAATAAAAGGCTCTTGCTTGGCCTTTAATTCATCTAAGCCTGGCCCTTACTCTTGAATTTAGTCTTTTTGGGACCGCGGGAACAGTTTGACCAAGCTTAGAATAAATACGAGGCCAGATAACATACTGCGCTTGGCCAAATACTTCATGCGAAAAATTACTGAAATTCATTGCTCGACATATACAAGTGATCTATGGTGACAACCGCTAATTACAGACGTCTAGTATTTCTATAATTATATTGGAACGAAACATTATTAGTACATCCAGGAGATATACAGTAAATAAACTGTATCCAATACTTCAATACAATTAATTCGCCATTGACATGCAAACTGTTCTATAACGTCTAATTAGTTATCTTATCGAGAATCATTTTAACAATTTTGCATACTTACCGTCCATTTTAATGCCAGGCTTGTTTTAGTCTTACCAGATATGTGTGGAATATCTGGAGTGGAGGGGGCTGTAGCATCTTTTACAATAAAAACGTCAGAGGAAAACGGTCCCTTTACAGAATCCTTGATTGCACGAAGTCTGTATACAAAGAAGGCAAACCTGATTAAAATATTTGACTATGCATGCTAATTCTATAAGAAAGTCAGCAGCAATACCAAGTGGCAAGACGCGAAGAAGTCTTGCTGTAAGTTGAAAGTTAAATTATAGAGTTATCCAGGCCTGAGAGTTATCGTGCAGGTTCTGAAGCAAACCTTATTTATTCAATTAACAAGTCGCACGTACATGCATGCTTACCTGAAATAATATTTGGTTCCAGGTAATAAGCCAGTTTTTGTGAAAAGTTGTTCTGTTCCACTACAAAACAAAAGTATTTAAAATATATATAACTAACATAACTGTCGGTAATGCCTGATCTACAGAAAATATGTAACATTTGGGTTATTTTAAATTTAGAGAGAGCGTACATGGAAGACACAAGATATTGCTAAAGAAATTGGTTCAAATTTATTACAAACTTTAATTCATTTTATATTATACTATAAACACTCATTCAAAGAAAGTTTGGAATACCATGCTTATCGAACAATACATACAGACTTGACATATAAAATATTAAGTAATTTTACAAAAAAAAAATTAGATATCAAAATCTGTCAAATAGACTGAAAATAGAAGATATTTCAGTCTGTTTGATATGTAAATATAGGATGACGTCATGCACAAGCGGGGTAAACTTTTGACAGTCTGCAGGACTTCTAAAATTTCATATTTTTATATGCAAGATTAGTAAATGGAATCATTGAAATTACTACAATGATTTCATCTATTTTTAACAGCGAGCTTTGTGACTTTGGCGTGACTGCTATATTGGAAACATTTTACCAGCTTGTGCGTCCTATAGCCGAGTATAGATTTATTCATTTCCAAATAAAACAAACTAAAATATCTCAAAAATGAAAAAAGATAAAGAAAAGTTTTAAAATAGCAGAGCTCTTTCAATTTAGCCTGCGAACAGGCCCTGGGTTGCGGGCGGCGCGAAGAATAGAGGGCCTGCACGGATGATAGGTTTTCTTGGTAGTGGCGTTCGTATAGAAACGCAGGGTTCTGATTGGCTTACACTCGTTGACAAAATTACTAAAAATAGCAAATGTCAACAACAGCATTTTGAAGAATTTGAACTTTATTCATTTTAATATTATATATTATAGGACTATCGAACAAATAAAACTAGAAATGGAAACCAAAAGCAATAGCAAAGCATCACAGCAAAAAAGTCTATCATAAATGACTTGAATCTATTGCTTAAATCCAATATACGAAACTATAACAGTATTCTGAACTTCGTCTTCGGATTGACATCAGACCATAGTATAGTACATTTTGAGGTCGTCGTGGCTTCACGGATTATTCTCATTAGTGAGCAAGTCAGCAAGCGAAGGCATACAAAAGATACCAAAATATGTACGAATAATTATATTGTCGATCCTCGCTGGCATGTCATTTAGATAAATATATATATCGTACATTAAACGTTGTACTGTTTACTGTATATTAACTGCTGACAATTTCGATACGGCTTCCACTATTGGCACACTCGTGATTTGGAAGAAATTAATAAATACATGCTCATTTATCATTTATTTAGACCACAGTTAGTAAAATTTTAAACGTATTCGGTATTCCAAATCCCAATCTATCTGACCGTATTTTAGTAATAGCTTCAAAATATTCAGAGCATTGTTCTTTCAGTCGCACATAGTACAAGTATTACTGTACATTCAAAGCCAATGGTAGTTTATTCGGCTTTATATTTGTATGTGTATTGATATCTATTTAATATTTGAAGAATTCTATATTTTTCCGAGTAATATATTGTGCGGCCCGCTAATGCTTTGTATTATTATTGTTCATGTTGCACAATGTACACGCCTTGCGTCAATTTGACAGTTGACAGTTTATTTATCGCAGTCGACGCTGATTGGTTAGCGTTTAGCAGTGCGAAAAGGGGATGAATGAATAAAACGCATGGTTCCGTGCAGGCTCACCTTTCTCCCAGTGAGCCTGTTCGCAGGCTACTTTCAATTTAAACATGCAGACTCGAATTTCATTGTCATTAACCTTTAAAAATAAACTGACCATTTTAATTTACATACTGTATTTACGGTATAAGAAATCTGAAAAAGCCGTGAAGGAAAATGCTGAGGCATATATTGTATAAGTTTATGATATTAAACAGAAGTGTTAAATTACCTGTACACATTTTGGAACGATGTATTTTTAGACTTGGACATCTCTAGCTCAAACATACAGTCGGCCAAATGTTCATTGTTCACCACGCTCTCCTTCCATGATATTTGAGCGGACGTAGAACCCAAAGATATCACCTATACAAATAAAGTCAACAAAACAGTCCTCATAACGTACCAAAGTTCCTGTTCAGAACTTTTACTCAGCATCGTAAAGAAGTCGGTTTATGAATCGGATTTCACGAAAAGACAGGAAGCTTTTCATCATAATTCTTTAGCTACTGATTCTTATCCTTATTTCAATGATAATTACTCGTTCTAAGAGTTTTCAAATGTCATGCTGTAATCTGTAAATTTTCAAATATCATGACGAGGAATTCGATCGCAATAAAGTAACCTGATGCATGTCAGTATCTTTCTGGAATGAAAGACGTAGTTAACCAATAATGTCAAGTTTACAATTCTTAAGGTGCTGCAGACCGCATTCTATATGGGGTTATTCATGGCACTCCATATTCGTCAATTGTTGAGGCAGGGTAATATTTCAGTCAAATAAACAAAACGTGAACTGAACAGTTATTAACAAGACAGATTACCTGGGGCTCTGACACTTTTAAATCATCAACTTGAATTTGAACATCATTCTCTTAAAAAAATTAAGGAACTTCGTTTTGTAAGGAAAACATCTTACTGGCTCATATTAATTCCACATGTAACACCAGATTGGCCTTGCCATAGTTAACGAGTATGGCCTAGTTAACTGACCAAAAAATTTTGTTAAATATCAAATATTTTATCCCCATACTGGAAACTTATTCAAGGGACAAATAATTAGTTAAACAGAAGGGAGCCTGCCACGCACGCTACTCGTTTCGTTCCTCTTGCATGGATCATGAAACAGGCTGTTGTTGTGGCAACCTATATATTTTGTTTTCAGAGATATTTGGACATGTAGAAGCATAAATAAATGTTGGTAAGAAGAGTCGAATTAAAAACAATTTCGACACATTTTAAAAGAATTCGTCCGACCTTGGTAGAAACAGAATAAAACTTAACGGAATACTCTATAGTTTCAAGTTCCCAATGTTTATGCCTTCTAAAGTCATTGTAAATAAGTTTGATGGCCGGACCTGAGACAACAAAAAGGTGGCCATTGAATTTGGTGACCATTGCAACTAAGGGAGTGGTCATTATTTATGGGGAGGGGGGGGGGACTCTAAAAATGCTATTTCCAACGATCTAGAGACTCAAAATTTTCAAAATTTCCCTGCTCGGCGCCAACCATGGTAGCGCCTCGCCATTTTTGCGTGAAGCGTGAAGGGCTTATTTTACTTCGCCGTGAAACGTGATCGGGCCCCTTGTACGTTTTGCGTGAAGGGCTTATTTTACTTAGCCGTGAAACGTGATCGATGATTTTCTTAATCTGTGACTCGTGAAAAGGCAAAATATTTTTACGTGAAAGCATATTGTGAAGAGGTATAGGGGGCCCTCTAAGTTTAACAAGTTTTCTACCCCCTGAGTGACCCAGTTGTGGTATTTACATAAACATACCATGCAAGTACACTTAACTGATCAGATTCGGTCTATCAACGCACAATGTAACGCTGTATATCCAAAAATCTGTTTCAGAAAATGCTCACATTTCAGTTCTAGGGGTGGAAAAATACAAAAAATACCCCCCTACTAGTACATATGATACCACACCAAACTTTTTGTCACCAACAACCACCTGTCATCTCTCCACACTCAATATAGTATGGTCCCTTTTTGTAGATGCCCACCCCCAGACAAGTTCTTAAAAAACCCTGTGTTCAAATCATTTCGCTGTATGAAGACGGGTCATGGGTTAGGGTTATGGTAGGACAAATGTTGCATTGCAAAGCAGTAACACATACATAATATATATTTTTTAATCATATATGGTTGAATCATATTCACCAGGGTAAAACATCATGAGCTAGATTAAACAGATTGTCCTAATATCTAACTTTACCTGCAACGCACACCTGTTTCATTGCTGTTAATTTTTCAATCCACACTGGGGGGGGGTGTCAGAAAAGTTTCTACTTTTATGAGGGGGAGGCACAAAAAGTTTGCCTTCAGTCTGGAGGGGGGGGGTCAAAAAAGTTTTCAACCCTTATTTTCCCCATTTCCCAACCCCCCCCCCTCCCCATAAATAATGACCACTCCCTAATGACAAGAATCTAGTCCAACCTGCAATCAGGTATTCTTGGGTAACCCTACTCTACCCTAAACACAAGTTCCACATCCCTTACCATACCCTAACCCTATCTCCTGCCCTTTAAGTGAGTTAATTTAAAACAAAAAGAAAAAAGTAAGAGTTTCCAAAACGTAAAACTATTTCAGTAGGACTCAATTAGCTATGACATCACAGCTGCAGATCGTATACTTCAACAGTTGATCCCTATTTGCTGATGGCCACTTAGGTTACTGTTAACAAATAGATTTCATCCTGCAATGGAAGACTTATTCTGTGATGGCAAAGAATATCAGTGATTGCAAAATAACTGGGACTAAATTAACTGACATTTCTGTGCGCAAAGTCATTCCAGACAAAATCTGTTTCTTGACAACCTCTTAGCACATGCTCTTAGTGTATGATGATTAATATACCTGCAGTTACTGAACTTGAAGGTCCAACGTCAATATGTACCACCCCAGCAAATTGTTGACAATAAGAACACTGGTCTCCATTATTTCTTTCCTTCAATCTCTTTTGAAGTCTTGCCAACTGTTTATCAAATCTTTCATCCCCTCTTTCACGGTTTACACTATCAGAATGTCTGCATCCTCCGCTCTTTAAAGATCGATCAAACTTTTCCAATTCATCATTAGACAGTTCGATATAAGAATCGCTTCTTTTGTTAAAAGAGAACACAGCTATCGAGGAATTCGAATTTCCATGATACAATCTGATAAGGGGTGGTGGGTCTTCGCCATACGGGACGCCGAACGAAAAATCCTGCCCCGTTTGTCTAACTCGAACTGTGTAGATTTTTGTAGCTTCTCCTTGCCCGTCCATAACAAAGAATGAAAAAGTGATCAGTTATAAAGCTTTATATAAAATCCTGACTCTTCGGACATTGATAGCAATTAGCACGTAATATATCTGAGAAAAACAAACACCAAACACATATCTATAAGTTACGGAAAAATAAAGTTGTCCAACAATTTTGCGAGGTTTAATCCAAGATGGTGCATTTCAAAACCAGCACGATCAACAGGTTTCAATATTCAGATAGAATGAAAAGAACACGTCGCCATTTCTGTTTATGTTTCTTATATATCACTTTAACATGACGTTCCATATAATAAGCCTCGAACATCGCGATCGCGGATTCGTGGTTTTGAAATGTCCCCGCTAAGCTAGTAATTAAGCCAATTTTACTATTTTAGGGAAAAAGTACATTTATTATGCCGAGGGGGCAGGGCTGTAGCGAGGGGGGTATTGGGGGGTGGTTAACCCCCCCCCCCAACTTTTTTAGAATCAACCAGTGAATCAACATATTCGGAAAATCGGGTTGGCCATTCGGAAAATTACGGCAATAATAGTAGAACAAAATTTTAGTTGTTAAACAGAGAAAATATTATAAAATTGTATTGTCAGTATAAACTGATTTACGAAATTATGGTATTTACATGGATAACACTGTCAGAGGCGTAGCCAGGATTTTTGGTCAGGGGGGGCAGCAAAAACCCAGGTGGGGCCAAGCCGCCAGTGACTCGAGTCTCGAGACGCCAAGGGCGTCAATCCATCCCAAAACGTGGGGGGGGGGGACGGACTAGTACTCCAAATTAGAAAGGTCCGGTGGTATGCTACCTGAATTTTTTTTTATTTCTGGTACACTGAAATGGCATTTCCAGCGTTCTGGAGGCACTTGTAAAGTTATAGTACAATGTGCTAATCTTAAATCCATTTTTAACCCAACCTCGTACCCAGGGCTTCTGCGCTTGCGCAGAAGCCCTGGGTACGAGGTTGTTTTTAACCATGTGAGAAATTCGCCATCCTCGTCCCCAGGCCCAAGCTCGGGCGGCATGGAAATTCGCTAAAAAACAAGGTTGTGCAAGTGGGATAAAGCACGTCAAAGTTGTTAATTAATTATATTACTGTTGTTAGTTATTCATTTAGTTAGATTGCAATGCTATGTCTACAACTTTTATAATTGGGATCAAGCGAGAAACTACAAAAATGGAATCTTTTTGCTTAATATTTTACTATATTTAAACTTTTGAAAATGGTGTCAGCCGTGAGGCCCTGGGACTGAGGATGGTTTTAAATCTTAATTCATCCTCGTTCCCAGGGCTTCTCGGCTGCCTGCGTTGCCGTAAGCCCTGGGACAAGCCAAACCGGAACACCACAAATTCTGGTGTTTTCCGGAAGTAAACGCGTTCTGCTGCAAGCTAAAAATGCTGACCATGCACTAATTTTTACTGAGGAGTGGAGACGTGTTGGTGAGCAGAAAATATTGGATTTTTCTTTTGTTTCGATGCATTTTCCACCATCAAGGGAATATGTGCAGACCACCTAATGGAATTATACATATTGGGGTTTTATATTTCGTTATATCGTTAATATTCGTCAAAATACAACCATATTTCGGTTTCATATTACATGTATCAATTTTCATGTATGATGTAAACATGATCGAGTCGAAATGTGCTTGAAGTGGCCACTGTGATTCGAAACATCATGGGTTCTTGTACAGATGACCTGTTTCAACACGCGCTTATAAAGTCACTTCAAAGACTGGACAAAACCGGACTGGAAATTAAAGAGAAGTAATTCGAAGCTTTATCGTCCATCGTATGTTGTATATTATAAAAAGGAACAAGAACGACATGTGACATGTCTAAACGGCGGTGTGTGTCTGTTTACTGGGTTATAACAACGGCAATAACAATGAATCACCTAACATTTCAAGAAAATATAAATTATAGATAGATGTCATGTATGACTCCATGAGTTTTGGATTTGAATTGCTAGTTTTAAATCTATATTATGTATACAAAATCATGCGTGCGTAAATTTGAGCAAAACAGCACAAGGTCAAGGGTGTTTGTTTGGCCATATGCCCATCATGTAGAGTGAATATTAAACACCGTTTTACTGTATATAGCACGTTTAAAACGTTATTTCCATGCAGGATAATCCTGAATCCTTCACCGATTACATGTCGTGGCAAATGAAGAAAAATAATTATGTAAAATAATTAAC